AGACAGAGAGAGAGAAGCAGAACCCATGAGTGAATTTCATTGGTAGGAGTCAAAGAAGAAATTGTTTGCCCATCTGGTCGCCAAGGAAAAGAGGAATCGAGTAACAAAAACCCTTAACAAATTATCTACGGTAACAAGAACCCAGTAATATATTGAAGCAATAGAAGAATTGTTCAAAGAGACTCACTGGGATTCCATGGTGGAGTCGTCGGAAGAATGTGGGCACTGGGTCTCTCCTTCCCGAGGCGAAGAGCGAAGCGGCGAGGAAGGGATTCAAGTATTCAACTCTGTCAAAGACTAGAACCCACGAACATAGTGCAAGGGAGTTGATGGAGGCGGCCGGCGAGGGATTCGATGGCGGTCGGAGGTCCTCGCGAGGCCGCTGGCGGCGAGGACGATGATGGTGGCGAGGGAGCTCTGTTTCGTTTGGCGAAGACGAAGAGAGTGAGACTGCGCCTACGAGAACGAGGACGAGGTGGAGTCGAGAGCTAGGGCTGAGGCTTACTCTCCTTCCCAAACGACAGCGTGAAGCCGTGAACCCAGTATCAGTTTTCGGTTTTTCGGGTTTCAGTAACCCGAAACCTCTATTATAGATATCGTGTTGAACCAGAAAAACCCGAAACCGAGAATGTAAATATCGGTTTCGGGTTTGGGTTAACCCGAAACCGAATTGACAGGCCTAATCCCTAGTCTAATAAATTAAGGGGTCGTTTGAAAGTTGCGATTGTTTTGTTGAGATTGTCATTATGCCTGTATTGTTTACAATGCATCGTTTTTTTGTTTTTTTAGTAGAAACAATACATGAATTGTTTCTATGATGTGACAGAAACTATCACTCATTTTGAGTGATTGTTATATCTCAACTTTTAGTTGTGATTGTTGAGATAGTTGAGTTGAGATTGTTTTGTCAGCTTTTAGCTGATGCGACATACACGATCACACATACCAAACGTTGTATTCTACAATGCATCAAATTTGACAATACATGCATAATATTATACATGCATTCTCAACAATACATCTATTTAACAATCGCAACTTCCAAACGACCCCTAAGGGTTCGTTTGGAAGTTGTGATTGTTAGAATTGTGTTTGTGGAATACATGTATTGTACACAATCCAATGTTTGGAAGTGTCAAAATATAAAACAATGCATGCATTGTTTTAGGTAGGTCCCACCAACAATCACAAAATTGATGCATTAAACAATCTCAACTAAAAGTTGTGATTGTTGCTTTTCGATTTGTGTCAACTTTTTATTTCCATTTATATCCCTAATAGTTTTTGTCTTATACTAAAAGTTGAGGGTAAATATGACATTTCCCCATAAAAATATGCAAATCAATGCATAAAGTAGAATATCAACAACCAAACAATGTATTGTTAAAATGCATTCATTGTATCAATACATGCATTTATTTTATGGTGATTCATTACAATGCAACGATTTAACATTCGCAACTTCCAAACGACCCCCTAAATAAGTTCTTCATTCCCTAAACGAACCAAATTCCAAAAACATAGAAACCCCAAAACTTACGTTCCCCTTAAAGTCGAATAAAAACCGAATGGATTTCAATCAAACTGAACCAAATAATCCTAAAACAGAAAATCCAAAACTTATTAGGCTCCCTTCACTTCTCATTCCTCTTTTGTGATTTTGGTAACATAAAACGAAATCGGAATAATAGAAGCTATCATTTTCTGGAAAAAAAAACGATTTCTTAAAACCTGTTTAGTTGGGATTTTAGGTGAATCGAGAAACTGTAATATGACAATGGAAACCTGTTTAGTTGGTTACTAGATCTGAAAATGAGAATCTGTATAATTTCTTGATACTAGCTAGTACATACTTCAATATAAAATAATTAGAAGTACAGTTACAATTGTCAGCAGAAAACAGAAAACGAAATGAGAAATGATCAAGGCCTTAGGTTTCCTAAAACTCAAATAAAATTGAATGAGTTTTGCTAAATTTTGAAATTAAACTTTTGTTTATCATATTGTGATTTTCAAAATATTTAATCTTTTTAAGTTTAGAAGAAAACCATTAAATAAAAAAATCGTTTATTGCCTAAAAATTAAATCTGTTATATTTCTTATTTATTTGGTTTCGATGTAAACCAAAAATAGAAACCCAACTGAATTGATTTTTTTTTTTTTTTTTTTTTTTTGCTTTCACAGGAGGCAAAACGCCGCAGAAGGAGAAAGGTACAGGGGGAGAGGATTACAGAGTGGGGGTGGTATCAACAGTACTTATAATGTTCCTGGGAAAGGTCTGACCACCCAACTGAATTGATCAACAATTCAAAAAAAGATGTGATTTCCTCCGATCCTAAGAGGGTGTGAGCAATGAACGATCAATTAGCTCTAATTAAGTAATTAACCCTAAAACAGCAAATGAGTCAATAGTTAGCTCATTCGTCTAGTATTTAGGACATAGGTACTTTGCATTATTTCTTGGTTTAAAGGAAGTATGCATGAAACGTATATATTGGATGATCGATATTGATGTATTATTGTAAAATCTTATTCCGGTCAATCTAATATTTGTCAAAAAAGATTAATTTTTGCATGAACATAGTTTAGCCATACTTCTCTTTACCAAAGGAAGTATGCATGAAACATATATATTGGATGATCGATGTTGATTGTTTTATTGTAAAATCTTATTCCGGTCGATCTAATCTTTGTCAAAAAAGATCAATTTTGCATAAACTTAAATTGATTCATGATCGTTCTTAATAGTTATTTGATTGATTTCGTTTACTATACTTGTGAGCTAGTAAAGTCGATTTTAGTTTATCTAGTGCAACAAGTATATATACTGATCTATGAGTGCTAACACCTCATAACATATAGTGGCGACACACAAAACATTATGACTTTCTAATGATGCGTGCAATCAAATTAATGGAGATTATTTACTTATCAATATTCGTTATTGTTAGGCATAACTATCATTATTGTTTAATCATCATATATAAGGATGACGCTAGAGAGTAAGATGTGTAGAGAAAAATACCTGATTGGTGGATAAGTGCAAACGAGTGGACTAAATTGGACTATAACACGTTGTATTTGTGACTATAATTATATGTATTTTCTCCTTTCATATTTATTAAAATAATTTTTCGTTGTTATTTCTTATTTGAACGGGACTGCGTATATTGTATTAATTTATATTGTCAATTCGTTGCCATATATCAACTATCAATAAAAATATAATGTATTTGTTGTTTATCAACTAATTATTAGAGTCTCCTCCCAACATTTTACTTTCAACGAATGATTTTAACTAGAGTGTGTTTCGGGGTTGCTTGAAAAGATTGGAAATATTTCATCATTTGAATGAAATCATTTGTAATTAATAACATGTGATATATTTAATGCGTGTGATTTCAAATTGTCTCGTTGATATAGAGAATGTTTTGGATTTTAACTTGACCCACTTCTAGAAGGAATATCCGAAGTTGTTAATACGGTAGCAAGGCGAGCTTATAAACCAACTTATGATCCCATTTTGTTTACCATAAATTCGGACCTTGTAAATGAAATTCTGTGTTGAAAGAAAAACACAACTGAAAGTGAACTGGGTTACTGGATCTATAAACAAGGAGAGCATATGGAAGAAGAACCTCAGTTGGTTGGGCCGGGCAAGTAGCCACCCAGTTTTCGTCTAGGGCCCACGAAACCAAAACAACGCTTTGGCCCACGGAAGGAAGGCCTTTCTTGTGAATGCTGGGTGTTTCTGGATCACGACAGCATGTGGTCAAGCCCAACGGAAACAAACCTAACCAAGTTGTAGTTTTTTGTTTTTTTTTTTTTTCAACTATTAAGCTGATGCATTGGCATCAATGTATAGGAATGCCAATGGATTTGGGTGGAGCCAATTTTTCCAACATATCATTTCCCAACTTAAATTTTAAAATCATAACCATTTCCACAACTAAAAATAAGCTTAGATGAAATATGACACTAAAATCAACTCGTATGAGGTTCCAATAAAAAACACTTCCACCATGTTCGGACCGTCATATCTAAATATCTTGACATAATGTAAAATTTTCCTTACCATATAAATTTTTTTGGAAATACTCTTTGCAAGTGAAGGGAAATGTGTAAGATTCGAGATCTAAAAGTAATTATAATACTCGAAAGATATAAATGATGAAATGGTTTTGTCATGTGCATTTATTTAATTATTCTAGTTATTTAATTATGAGCAAGGTTGTCAAACTGGTTTATACCGTTGTGCCGGTTTGGCAAGTGGAATGGTACGACCGGTGGTATAACTAGTTTGTGTCGGTTCATGCCGGTTAAAAAAAATGTGAAAATAATTAATATACATTTAATCATATATAAAACATATTTGTGGACAATTTAGTTACAATCCAACAAATATCATCAACTTTTAGCTATTACATTCATAAAATGAATAATAAATTAATTTTTTTATTCATTAAGTTCATTAAAATGATGTCATTTTACTTAGAATGCGTAAGTCGATCATACCGATGATGTCATGACCGGCACAAGTTGAACCAGGTTCAACCGGGTGGCATGCCACCGGCATGACAACCATGATTATGAGTTGTTATGGGTGGGGAGACGTGATTAGTGGGTTAGTGGTTACCTAGAACTGGGGACTTAGTTTAGGTTTTGCTTTATTGTTTCCGTTGGGTTAGTGGTTACCTAGAACTGGGGACTTAGTTTAGGTTTTGCTTTATTGTTTCCGTTAGTTCAGTAGTTGTAGGGTTATTAGTTTGTATTTAAGGTAGCAGAGGGATAGGTGAAAGAATAATCAATCAATTATAATCAGAAAAGGGTTTTACACACCTACGTGTTAATTTGGGAGGTTGGCTTTCCTTGAAAAAGTTTAGGGGTTTCATTCTCGCCATTAAGGAGAACACTTCTCTTCTCTCAATCTATCTGTTCATCAATCTTCTTCTTCCTATTTCAATATTTCTTTCTAAATCGTATTCGTGCAAAAAAACACGTAACATTTGGTATCAGAGCCGACCGATCCTATCACCATGGAGTCCCTTGAAGCTATTTCCACAAAGAGGTTCAAACAAGAGATCGCATTAAGGGAGGAGATGAGAAAGAATTTTGCGGCCCTCATCAAGAGGTTTGATCAATTTCTCGCACGCCGACAAGGAGATGGCAAACTCCATAGGGAGATTGGCAGATCCATCTCAATGGAGAATAAGCTTGTAGAACGACAAGTAGCCACTAGCAAGTTCAAGTTCGTCAAGGACAAATTGAAGTGCGATCAGGCTAGTAGCAGACCTTCACCTGGCCCTCCCAAGATGTCAGTTGAGCAACCTACACATCAGCGACAGCCGCCGTGCCACTGGCGAGCATGCCACACCCATCGACCCCCACCATGGCTGTTGTCCAAGTTGAGGCGCTGCATGAAGCAAGCTTGCTGCAGGTCATCGCCTCGAATAGCATCGCCGCTATACAAGACGTCAAAGAGGATGAAGCCATTAGCAAAAGCGCTACTTGCGAGCTCATTGACCCAAAAAAAAAAAAGGGCACAGGTAACATTTGGTACCAGAGCCAGCCGATCCTACGACAATGGACACTCGAATGGTCCGCATCGAAGCCTTGCTTCGGCAAGATGCGCAAGGGACCGCAAGCTTCAGGCAGGAGATGCAGGAGAGTTTTGCGGCTCTCATCGCAAGATTCGATCGATTCTCGACCAATGACAGATGGACGAAGGGGTGAAGGTCGAGCAGGCCAAAGCTAGATCTCAACCCGGCCCTCCGGTGACGTCAATGGAGCAATGTGCGCCACCAGTGACAGCTGCGGTGCCGCCGGCGAGCAGGCCGCACCTCCCCGTTGAAGACCAGTCATCAAAATTTTCAGAATCTCAAGCCTCTTCTCTTGTTATCACGTTGATGAAATCATAAGCGGCTTCGACTGTACGGGAGACATCCATAAAAATGGGTCTCCACAAGACTACAGAATCCAACGTCAAGCAACAAAGCCATTCTGAGTTCCATAATGACCACAACAATAAGAATCTTTCATTGTCCAAGCTCCCTACCTACTCATTGTGCGCTAGAGTAGCCTGCCAAGTAAGGGACAAGTGTTTGGGTGATTTTCATCATGATCGGTGGAATTTCCCTAACGTTTGTCCAGCCTTAATTGCCCCGTCACATTGGGGAAGACTGCCATTATTATTGGAAGCAAAAGGTGCTGATAATTTTGTGGGGGGTCCTTTGATGGCAGAAGCAAAGTTTGGCCAATGGAGCCTAGCATCCAAATGGTGGTGGTGCATGCTCTTTGGAGATTCAAGTTGAAGAGGACGTAACTGGTTTATGGCTGATTCGTGTAGTCAAGAATCTTTTCAAGGGGGATGGAATGTCATGTGCATTTATTTAATTATTCTATTTATTTAATTAGGAGTTGTTACGGGTGGGGATTATGACGTGATTAGTGGGTTAGTAGTTACCTAGAATTGGGGACTTAGTTTAGGTTTTGCTTTATTGTTTCCGTTAGTTCAGTAGTTGTAGGGTTATTAGTTTGTATTTAAGGTAGCAGAGGGATAGATGAAAGAATAATCAGAAAAGGGTTTTACATATAGGTGTCAAAACATAGCCCGACCCGATTAACCCGCCCGATCAACCCGACCCGCAACCCAACCGCCACCCGAATTGACTAAAAGTCAACAACCCGTAACCCGCCCGACTCGCAACCTGATTGACCCGCTACCCAACTAACCCGCAACCCAATTAACCCGAACCCGATTGACCCGCAACCCGACTGACCCGCAACCCGATTAACCCGAACCCGATTGACCCAAACCCGACTAACCCGTAAACCGACCGACTCAACCCGAATTTCATCTAATCCACTTGAATAATTATAAAAATGTACAATACATAGTTTTTCAAAATAAAGTTTTTCATTCTAAATTTAAGTAAAATTATTTTTTCATTTCTTATAAGAAATTTAAAAACTATGAAACTCACTTGATATTACGTATGTTAAGGAAATTACCAAAATTGAAACATGAAGGTCACTTGAGATCATGACAATATTAATATAATATATAAATTAAAATTTTGGTTAATTTAACTATTCAATAAAATTATCAATTAAATATAAATAAAGTAAAGTAATGTATTTGGTAATTTGATGTTTTTAAAAGAAGAGGGAAATTTTGGTGTATTCAAGTTTTTGGGAAGAGAAAGAAGAGGGAAATTTGGTTCTTTGAATTTTTTTAGAAAAGAAACAAGTGGGAATTTTTGTAGTTTTGATATGTGGGAAGAGAAAGAAGTGGGAAAGTTTGATTTTTTTGATTATGAAAGAGAAATATGGAGGGAAACTTTTGACTTTTCAACTTTTTGTAGAAGGAAAGAAGAGGGTAATTTGTTTCTTTCAATTTTATGGAAGAGAAAGAGGAGGGAAAATTGAGTTTTTCTAATGTATGGAAGGACAAAGAAGGAGGGAAATTTTAGTATTTTGTGAAAAGAAAGAAACAAACAAATTTGGTGTTTTCAATTTTTTGGTTTTTCATAATTTTAGCTTTTGAAATATGAATCTTTAACTTTTATATGGAGGGCATGACTAGTTAAAATTATTCTTATATGCTTTGAAGGCTAATATGTATATATGTATGTAATTGTTTATGGGCTAATAAATGAATTAACCATTAGTTACAACAATTTATACTAAACTTGATAAGTAATCTTTGACGGTTCGTTGTTTAGGATATAAAGTATATGGTTAGAGTATAAGGTACATATGGTTTAGGGTGTATATGGTTAGGTATAAGATATTGATGGTTTTGACGGTTCTAAGATTTTTATTAACATATGTTCACTTGAAGTCTTTAACGGCAGGAGATCCCTTTTTAATTTATGTTTATGGTACGTGGTTAGGGTACAAAGTATGTGGTGTAAAGTATAGGATATATGGTTAGGGTATAACAATTAGCAAATATCACTTTTTATCTATGTTTTGAAAATCAAAGTATGAATTTCACTTTTAAATTAACTATACTAGCAAAATCACAACTCAAGGACATATGATTAGGGTATAGGTTATGTGGTTAGTGTATAATGTATTGATGGTTTAGGGTATACAATCAACAACATATACTAACTTAATATTGTTGATTGAGGGTAAGGCTAAGTGTATAGGATATATGCTATTGAGTAAGTTATGATTGAAGTCACAATAATTTTACTAAATTTGATAGCTAATCTTTAATGGTTCAATTTTTAGGATAATTCGAACAATTTTACAAATAACTCGTTTGGCAACAGTTTACTGAAGTTATTTGGGCAATGAGTTATTTTGAAATAAATCCTTTTATCACTATGCTTTTGCCAATTACCACACGCCAAATACCAGATTTGCATGGTTATACTAAACGAGATACTTTAATTCAATTACTACTGAATTAATACTAAAATATCAAATAAACAATTAACGGTGTCTTTTGGTAGCAAATATTGATATCACCATTACTATTAGCTATAATAATTTACCAATTATGATTAATTACATAACAAGTTTGCAAGTCATACAAATTGATTTAAAATTTTGACTAGTTGTTTTTCAAAAAAATAAAGTATATATATACGAGGTAGAAATAAATTGGTTAAAAAGTTGAGAAAATATTTTAAATTAGTGTAATAAAATGTGTAAGTTGGTAATGAGTAATGAGTTAAGTTACTTGATGCGCTGGCCCGAACAACCCGAAACCCGACCTGCCCGCAACCCGCCCGACCCAAAACCCGATGAACCCGCAACCCGATTTGCCCGCAACCCGATTGAACCCGAACCCGATGAACCCACAACCCGACTAACCCGCAACCCATTTGAACCCGAACCGGATGAACCTGAACCCGATGAACCCGCAACCCGACTAACCCGCAACCCGTTTGAACCCGAACCCGATTGAACCCCGCCCGAACCCGCCCGATTGACACCTATAGTTTTACACACCTACGTGTTAATTTGGGAGGTTGGCTTTCCTCGAAAAAGTTTAGGGGTTTCGTTCTCGCCATTAGAATTAACACTTCTCTTCTCTCAATCTATATGTTCATCAATCTTCTTCTTCCTATTTCAATATTTCTTCTTAAATTGTATTCATGCAAAAAGGGCAAGTAACCGGTTTATGAAGCGAGTGAACATAAACCATAAACATGTACAATTTAACTGTTGATTGGCACATTAAAATAAGTTAATCATTCCCATCATCAAGTACCGTACGTTCACCCTTTTCCTTGAACTGCTCCTGTTAGATAGCTGCAAAGGTACGTACGACGAGCCACGCCAATGGTTTGCATGGAAATTGGCCATAAATGACGCCGGCCATATGCTCCATCGGACCACCACCACTACATCAAAAGTTAACCATATTTTTTATACTCTATCTTTCCTTCTTATCCTTCCCTTTCCCATTTGGCAACCGATCGATGACTTTCCTAACCTTAATATTACGGCCACGTTTTCCGGTTAAAGAAGCCCCAACACATGTTTTTTCTACATCTTATGTGGTGTGTACGCATACCATGAAAGCATCTAATTAAAGATGGACAACTTTCTTGGCAGAGGAAAGCAATCAAAAAATCATGTCCCAAAATTTTTATTAATGATTATGACCATGTTTTCGAGTTACTAGTGTACGACTAACACCAATACAACGTATGGGTGATGACTCGATATTTGCACATGTTTTCCCTTTTGTTTCTTGATCATTTAAGCTTGCATTATCGCTTCTTTGGCCTATTTTACGCTAGTTTGTGTTCCTTTGTCTCATTTCAGGTCTTAGCACATTAAGTGAAGCGTAGGCGCAAGTTTCAAGTCAATCGGAAATCAATTGCGACTCGGGGGAAGAAACTCGGGTATGGCTTGAAGAAGAATGGATTTCTACCTCCGTTTGTGACCATATAATCATGTAATCTTGTCATGAGAGGAAAGAGGATGAGACTATGAGCGTCTGGGATCAAACGACACCTGATTTGGAGTCCGAACGAGGGAAAAATGAAGAATCAAAGTTAGGGGAAAATTGGTTTTGGGCTTCTCTGAGAAACAGAAGGGGGCCCTATCGTGACGCTAAAATCCCCGGTAGGGGATTTTTGGCCTTGACCGGGTATTTTCCCCTGTCCCCAACGGTGCGTTTTAAAGATACCCGGTCTCCACCTAAAATACTCGACAGGGGATTATGATTGGGGATCGCGAACGCAGGCTGTTAAAAGCCTGTTTTGTGCGTTTTTGCAAGGGAGAGCTGGGTTTTGGATCCCAAACACCCAAGGGACGAACCAAAGAGAGAGAGGGCGATTTGAGGGCATTCTTGGAGTGGAATTGGAGGATTTCTTTGCCTTGGAAGCTCGAGGAACAAGCCCGGACTTGAAGACTGATCATCTGAAGATTCTTACTGCAGTCTCTCTCTTCTCTATGGAATAACTTCCCTTCACTTAGGTTTTGAGGAACCCTAGCTATGTTTGATTGATTGGATGATTATATGAGTACTTTGACGTGATAATCTTGAGTTCATATTCAATCTATGCATGTTTTCATGATTCAATTCTGCTTTAGTCGAGATTATTGATTCTGCTTTGATCCTATGAGAGCGAATACCTGATTAGGTCAATAGAGGACCATAGATTGATAGTAGTGGATCGATTGTTTTAGTCGAGGGTTGATTCACTAATTTGTATCAATTGAGAACCTCATTCGATAGATGGGATCTAGTTCAGAACGCCTTGATCGGTTGTTCTAGAGAAGGATACGTCCCTCTAGGCAATTGACTCAAGAGGGCCTTGTTCCTTTAGTCGAGACTCAGGGTCTAGTCAAGGATTCTCCGCATTGTGAATGAAAGTGAAACAGGTTAGAGATCATCAATCATTAATCTGGCTAGTGGCTAGGGGGAATCATACCTAAGTGAGTTCCCAACCTGTAATTAGATTAACTTTAATTGTAGTTTGCTAGAGTAGTTTTAGTTCTTTCATCTTAATCTGGTTTGCTAGATAATGAACTGAAGCTGAGTAATAGTAACTCTAGAGACCCGTGGATTCGATATTTATCACTTGAGCCACTATACTGCAGTCCTTTCATTGGTTACACTTGACCTTTGTTAAGAATTGTGTCATAGCGAGTCAATGGTGTATATTGCCATTATATATTTGTTCTTCTTCTAGTGCAAGAAGATGTCAGAGCATAGAGAATTCTGAGAACTTTTTGCATGTTAAAGTTGTTTTGCTTAAAGTTGTAGTCATTTATTGTTGGCTCGATTATTATGACATGTTATTTAAGTATGTATATAAAGTAAGGGATATTCCCTTATGAGTGGGATACTCCACAATGACAATTAGTGGCAGATTTGGAAATCTACAATATACAAGAAAAACATAGTATAGAAACAATAATTAGCTTTATTTTTTTATGAGTCCAAAATGGATGAAAGATTACTGTGGCCATGCAAAGTATGAGAATATAATATATTAGGGTACACATATGGTGCCTTGTAAGTCACCGTAATTTGCACACTTCGGTCGACCTATGCATAATTGAGGTCGACTGAATTCAGTGTCGTGGTCACTCTGATGAAAAGTCATGGTCGACCATTAACATATAGCCTACAAGTAGCTTCGTGTGTTTGGTTGCGTTTGCTATGTGCTTCTCCCTGCACGAGAGTTTACTAAGCTCACTCTGAAAGCTTCTAAGTGTGTCTTTGTGGGTTATAGTGCACAACATAAAGGATATGTGTGCTACGATATATATTTTCATGATAAACACGTTCGATCAAAGTTGACATCCAAATTCAATTGGAACTTTAAATATATTTTTTCATCTAATTTTCTTCTTTCTTCTCATTTTCAATGAAGTCTACATCTAATGGTGTTCTCTTTGTTGCATAATCTCGATAATTGTTGGAAATTATTACTTTTTTTTAGTGTAATCTTGGTTAAGCTTTGTCTAAATCTAAAGTAAACATGTGTCCCATACAATTGTCTTTTCCCTCGTTCTTTTATGACTCGTTTACTTGTTGGATTTGAAAATAAGGGTGTTGAGTTTTAAAAAAATTTGAATTTCTGATGGATTTGTCTAACATTTTTGCCTTTCATTATCAAATCTCAAATAATATGTGGGATTTACAAGTCCATGGAGTCCACAAATTTTCTAAGAAAAGGGTCCAAATCCGTAGGCCACACGAATTTCTTGAATCTCATCAAACAATAAATTTGTGTCAATTCCATGATGATTGGGATTTGGGTGCCAAATCAATCACCCAAATCCCACAAGCAAATGACCCATTATAGATTTCTTTCATTGTCCAAAATATTAAATTTTATTAGGTAGCCAATGCTTAAAGTATTTAACCACTAGACGGTGTTACGATCTCAAAACTTTTAGAGTGGTTCATTTTGTAATTACAGGTTAGATTAATTTTGAAAGAAAATTAAAAAGCAAAAAATGGTGGTTGTTAAACATCATAATCGTTGAATTAGTGTTGAGTTTTTTTTTTTTTTTTTTTTTTGAATATAGAAAAGAAACTTCACACACATGCATGGTCTCCTCTTTAATACGTACGAGTGGAGAACAACTGTGGAATTGTGAACTGAATTCCAACAAGTGTTGCCAACTTTTTTTCTCCTTAAAAAGGGTAATAGATTAGAAAAAAAATTAATCCAAGGTAAAACGAAATAAATAAAACTGGGGATGATGATTTTTTTTTTCTCTCTCAAATCTCACTTTAAACCATGTAATTTTCAAATTCGTGAGATCTATGTATTTGAACTATTAGATTTATGGACCAGGAACAGATCTAAGGGTGTTTAGAAGTGTCTCGAGACATCCCTAAATTTTGGGGAGAAACTAATGAACAATCAGTAGTAGGTTGAGTATGGAAAAATAGTGGTAATCTATGTGATTCAAATATATTACACTGCAATTATTAGTGTATATTCTTCGATTAGATTACAATTTATTAATTGATGAACATAAATATAATTATAAAAGGCTACTCCTTATTCCAATTTTTCCAAAACCTAAAAATTAAAGCCAATCCGACTACAGGTTACCCCTTATCCCTACCATAGTCTATTTATACAAGTATGTATATTATGTGTGTGGTCCGTGCACCTCATACTCTTTGTCACTATACAGTATACATTGTATTTATGGTTAGGTGTCTGGTGGTGCAGAGGGTGTCCCCTTTACTTCTTCCTTACTGACATCAGGTCTATCAACTTGTCTCTTAATCTTGCCCCTAACTATTGCCATAAGGTCTTCCTTACTGACATCAGGTCTATCAACTTGTCTCTTAATCTTGCCCCTAACTCTAGGTCTATCAACTAGAGTTTTGCCCCTAACTATTGGCTTCTTTTGTACTCTTCTTGTGGACCTTCTTTAAGTATTAGACTTTGACGTCATACCTTATCAAAGTATATTTTAAATTTTTTTGAAATATGGAAATATGCCGACATTTTCTTATTTAAAATTTTTATTTTAATATAATTTTTGAAAGGATTAGCCCCTACATAATTTTATCCCCTAAAAATGACTAGTAGTTTGCACTTGGGAATAAATCCAAATTTCTCACCGAACCCGCAAACAACCCTATATTTCATTCATAGTATACAGAAAAGAGGGCGCACTAGTTTGTTATGCACTTGTGGTGTCATGTTCATTACTTTTCAAGAGACAAGAGAACAATTTATCAATTATCATCACCGCCACTAAAGTCAGCTGTCACAAATTTATGGATTTTAAATGCTAAGAACTCCAGTCACATCCCTGAGTTTGGTCCAACTTATTCCAATAGCAATACTTCCACAACCTGGAATTTGTGGGTAATAGAAAAGCTGTATCAACCACACCATGGGAACCAATCTCTTCTTAGTTCACTGTCGACTGTATCTCAGCTAAGAAGAACCATTGTATCAACATGAGCAAATTTGTGATGGAAAAGCTAACTCTTTTTTTTTTTTTGTCAATTAGCGAAATCTTATTCGTCGTACTTAAAATTGTACAAATAAAAACTTACAAACAACGTCATTTTTAGATTGACACTAGATAACTTGTATTCGAGTTTAAGCACAATCCCACCTGACGATATGCTTATCCAGTTCTTCCAGCTCCAGGGTAACAATTTCACATCTGTTGAGATGATTAACAGGTTAATTAATTCAGCATGGGTCTTTATCCAATCATTAGCTTTCAAGCCTGAAATGTAGAAAAAGAAATTTAAACGAATAAAAAAGGAAACTTTATAATACAATACAGAAAGAAGAAAAAACCGCCAATTTTTTAACATCGTGTCCTTTCTGGCAGAGCAAAGTGGAAGGAACAGCAACAGGATGGTTCTTCTTATAATTATTTTCTTTCCATTTCTTTTTGGGTTTAAAATGTATTTAGAGCTACGGAGAAAACCTCCCTTCGAATCCAAGTCTTTTCCCCCAAATGCGTAATCCGCGTGCAGCTTATTTTTTAGCCAAGCAGCGATCTTTAGAGCATCGTCTACTCTTTACTCAATCTTGCCCATTTCTTCTCTAAGCTATACTTTCATGGGTAGTTGCCAAGATCTTGCGGGTTGACACTCTGTAGCTCAAGTGTTTGATAAAATCTCCCAACCAGAAAATATTAACAACAACAACCCATTCTCAGTACATTGCTTACCGTATCCAAAGACTTGAGCTTTCTGCGTCGCACTCGGTTTCAGGCTTTCAGTTCCTTTTTTGGTTTAAAACCCATCTCCTCAAGCTACTTGATCCCCTTTTTTTCGTCTTCCTTCTTTTTCTGGTTGGTTCTTTCCTCCTCTTTCCCTCTTGCTTCTTCTGGGTCTTTTTCTTTCTTGGGGTTTCATGAGTTCATCTGCGGCTTCATCTGCTGCTGTGTCCTGCTGAGGATTAGAGAGTGGGGAAGGGAGGGAGTGGTGGAGATTTCTTGCAGAGGAAATGAGATCATTCATTTCTTTGCAAATTCTTTGTGTCGTTGCCTCTACTGCTCTCTTTGTGGCTTGTCAGTCCTTTTCTCAGGATGAAGGTATGAACTGCTGATTTCAGATCTCGACTCTTCAACTTGGCGTCAAGCTGTTTGCTAGTTGGGAAAGAAAATTACTTTTGTGGGGGCAGAAGAGAAGTCTGCACCTGGTGTTGTTTTGCGTTTGACTGAGTGGAATTTGTGTCAGTTGGAGGACTAAGTGAGAGTATTGCTAGCCTTCTTGTTCTTTGCCTATCACTAGAGTGAAGAATCTTGATTCCAACTTTTCTCTTGGGTCTAGTAAATTTCCTCTACTTTGGTGATGAACAATGCGGTAGTAACTGTTTTGGGAAGGTCATTGATCTGGACGCCTGTGTTCAAATCAATTGAATGGCAAACGAACTTTCTGAATTCTTGTGATTGGTGTGCGTTAGGTGAGGTGCTGATAGCTTTTGTTTCTTCTTTTACTGAATTCTGCTGCTGACTTTGCACAGTTTCGGCCCTGAATGCATTCAAGGAAGCAATTTATGAAGACCCTCGTCTGATTATGTCCAATTGGAATGCTCTAGATACCACTCCGTGTGAGTGGGCTGGCGTTTATTGCACATCTGCTGGAGACCATGTTTTCAAGATGTAATTCGCGATCCATTGTTCATTCTGTTATGACTGTATTCCCAAATTGGAGGGGCTTGCCTTTTGCATTGGTTCATTCCTAATGCATAATTTCCCCCTCTGTAGAAACATATCTGCAGCATCTCTCCGAGGGTTCATTTCACCGGACTTGAGCAGGATCACAAACTTGCAAGAACTGTAAGTTACCTCTTGCGTACATAATACTGAAAAAGCTATTCTCTCGAGTTCACTACAATTTAAGTTAACAATGATGGTTTGGTTTCTTGGGGTTATGTAGAATCTTACATGGCAACAATCTGATTGGAACTATACCTAAAGAACTGGGCAATCTGAAGCAGCTTAAGAGGTTGGATCTAGGAGCCAATCAATTAATGGGTCCGATTCCTCCAGAGCTGGCAACTATATCTGGCATCATGAAAATGTAATTCTTTTGTCTCGTCCTTTCTTGATTGATTGGAAATGCTCAATTCCTGCTTACTAACTTGGGGTGACCTTTTGGCCTGCAGAAACCTTCAGTCTAATGGGCTAACCGGGACTCTGGCTACAGGGTTTGGCAATTTAAGATACCTTCAGGAACTCATCCTGGATAGGAACAGACTCCAGGGTACTTTTCCAGCTAGTAATGATTTGCCGTCCAATTTGCATGGAATGTAAGTTCAGTATCCATATGCCAAGAATGTCATAGATTGGTCATTTCAACTTTTCTGGGTTTTACTTTTCTCTAAAGAACTTGATGCATCACCTTAACTCTGTGGATAGAAGATTGGAACAAGAAAGAACAAGCTTTCTAGTCATAACTTCGTGACAGAGGAAGCGCCTTTCTTGTCCTCATCTTCCTCTCTTATTGTGATCAGGCTGTCCTATTGACTTCATGGTTCTAATTTCTGTTAACAGGTATTCTTCAGCTGAAAACTCAACTGGTCTATGCCAGGCATCTAATCTCAAAGTAGTTGATTTCTCTTACAACTTCTTCACTGGAACAGTACCTAAATGCTTGAGATATCTTCCAAGGTAGTTTTCTTGCGACTTTATGATTGATTAAAATTTGCTAGTTTACTTCGCAGCTTACATTATCTTAAATTTTGTTGTCTTGCAGCACAAGTTTTCAAGGAAACTGCCTTCAGAACAAAGAGTCACGACAGCGTAGTGCTGCACAATGTAGCTCTTACTGTAAGAATTTTTCTCTGTAGTGTAGAGTTTGGGGTCATAAGTTTGGTTCATGTTTAATATAATGCAATGCAAGTAATTAAGTAGCAACTATGTGGAAACTCTTATCAATTCATTGCAGTACATAGCTTGGATGGAGAAACAATTTGATAGCAATGTATGCCAAACTAGGGTCATGAGCTCTTGAGGATGTTAGAGAACTTCTGATCTGAACAGTGGCAAAACTATGTCCGAAGTGTTACTATTTTCCGAGAGTATTAGGCTTTCTTACAAGCATTGGCCATTGTCCATCTGAAAGTGATAACAAAAATATTTCCTTCTGCAGCTGGTCCTAAACCTGTCAGAAACCATCCACCATTTCACCCTAAGCACCCAGCTGCTGAAGCTGTTTCCTCCAAGGAGCATCAGGGGAAATCAAAGCCAGCATGGTTATTAGTGTTGGAAATAGTGACAGGAACCATGGTGGGCGCTATCTTTGTTGTTTTCCTTTTCACTGCTTTACAGAGATGGAATGCCAGATCCGCTATTATAATGCCCTGGAAGAAATCAAGTAGTCAAAAGGAAAATGTGCCTGTATACATAGGTTTGCTTGCTGCATCAACAACCAACATACATTCAGAAAGTTTGACTGTGCTTCTGCTTAAAGTGACATTTATATATCCATTTTGCAGACTCTGGTATGCTGAAAGATGTAGTGAAGTTCAACAGACAAGAACTTGAAGTAGCCTGTGAAGACTTTAGCAACATCATTGGCTCTTCTCCAGATAGTTTGGTTTACAAGGGGAACATGAAAGGAGGTTCTGAGATTGCTGTCATATCTCTCTGTATCAAAGAGGAAAACTGGTCTGGCTATCTTGAACTCTATTTTCAGAGGGAGGTATGTCAAATCATGTCATGGAACCTCCCCAAAATTGACTAGCATTTATAGAGCTCAAAGTAGGAAACTTTGCTGAAGTGCTATTACTTCAGGTTGCAGATTTGGCAAGATTAAATCATGAGAATACCGGAAAGCTGCTGGGTTATTGTAAAGAGAGCACTCCATTTACCAGGATGCTAGTGTTTGAATACGCATCAAACGGAACTTTGAACGAGCACCTTCACTGTAAGTCAGGTTTTCCTGTAGCTTTAAGTTCGGTTGAAAGATTATAGAAAATCTTCCTTCCTAGTCCAAAGCTGAAGTCGCCCATTCTGAACGCTGTGCAGATGGAGAGGAATGCCAATTATCTTGGACACGGCGCATGAGAATTGTGATAGGTATCGCTCGTGGGCTTAAGTACCTTCACACGGAACTTGACCCACCTTTCACAATATCGGAGTTGACTTCTAGTGCTGTTTACCTCACGGATGACTTCTCCCCCAAGGTACTCAACATCTACTTTTGTTGGGAGTGGGAACTTTATGATACTGCAAGCTTTTTGGAGCTCCTAAATTAGCAAAATATACAATCTTGGGATCGTAGCAATACTTTTTACTTGACTTTGAATACATAGCACAAATTCCTTATAATTTTTTTTCCCCGAAACAATCCAATTCCTAATAAGATGGTTGTTAACCAGAACTTTTTCATTCATTCTTTGATTCAGCTGGTGGATTTTGAGAGTTGGAAGAGCATTCTTTCCAGATCAGAAAAGAATGCAGGTTCCATTGGTGGCCAAGGTGCTATCTGTGTTCTTCCCAATTCTATGGAGGCACGGCACCTGGACATTCGAGGCAATGTCTATGCTTTTGGGTTGTTACTGCTAGAAATTATCAGTGGCAGGCCTCCATATTGCAAAGATAAAGGATCTCTTGTAGACTGGGTATGTTATATATCAAATTCAAGCATGGCCCAAAAACTTCCTTCAGCACCTAGAAACTGAGAACTGTTCTATATTCATGCAGGCTAATGACTTACTCGAAGTCCCGGATGCAATGTCTTATCTTGTGGATCCTGAGGTGAAGAATTTCAGGCAAGAAGAGCTAAAAGCTATATGTGAAGCGGTAAACCTTTGCATCCATCCTGATGCAACGAAGAGGCCTTCAATGCGGGAGTTGTGCACACTGCTGGAAAGCAAAATCGATACATCTGTGTCGTTTGACTTCAAGGCGACTTCCTTGGCGTGGGCTGAGCTTGCATTGTCGTCATGAATAGAGTTAGGGGAGAAGACTTTGATTGAGCTAACACACTGTAAAGCAAATAGAGACATCACTAATACTCTTCCTTTCTTTGGTTTTGGTGTCACCTTGATTCTCTGTGAGGCTTTTTTTCTTCCTTTTTGGTTATTTACTACCCCTTGTAAATGTCTGCATATAGCTAAAGAGGAACTTGAGAGTGCTTCTTGCATGACACAAAAGAACTCATTTGTATACCATTACCACCCCCAATTGGGAGACTGTGATGGATAACTGAAGTTGCTGAATCATAGTAGATGTAGATAGAGTTCACTGAACTCTTGTTGATGATATTTGAATGAGCAAGGGTGTTTTCCCCCCTTTTTTCTGCCAATTCTTTTTCCCCTCCATCTCTCTGGGATTCTCTTTTGTAGCAGAAGCAGGTCCAATATAGAAACCAGCTCATCCTGATATATGATTAGTTTGGGGAGTAGTGATGCGTGGGGATTACAGTTTTGCTCCATTATCACATTGCATAAAGAGAAAGCAAGAATCATTCTTATTCCCACTGAAGGGTTGCACCATGATGGCAACTTTCCAGGTTTCCACATTCAAAAGGAATGGTAAATTTTTGACTTTGGAAAGAAGAAACGAACAAAATGATTTCCAGGATGGATGTTGGAGAAATAGAAAGAATCATTAAAGGTGTTTGGTATAATATTGTCTGTTGCTGTTGCATTCAAGCTGCAGAGTGGGACAAAGGGGTACGTTAAACTGGTCAATTTCCATGGCAGCCTTTCTCCATCCAAATCCCTTTCTATCTTCATCACCATGCTGGATGCAGATGGCCATTCAATCATTTTCTTGAGCAGTGAGCACATTGTCGTCTGCTCCTGTTCTTTTTTTCCTGGAAACTCTGCCGTAGATTTTTCCTTTTTAAAAAATCACCACCATCTCTCACACAAAGCAGTTAAAATCGGGATTTTATCTAAAATCGAAAATAGGGTAAAATCGGAATCGTAAAATCGAATCGTAGAATCGTAGGATTTTAAGTACCATATAGAAATTAACATATAATAATAATATTAATAAGGTAAATAATTAGTAACACAAAGACTTATAACATTTAAAGTGATAATTTTCAAGATTAATGTTCCAAATCATCATTTTAATTGGTATTTAATGCGTAACTAAAAATAATTTATGAGGAAGGGATAGAGCTTATGGGGTTTGACTCTTGTTTTTCATGTTGTGTCTAGGTAGTTTAACTCAAAGTAGTATCCCAACATCGTCTACTATGCATGATTTAAAACTAAGAATAACTTAAATCCAATAAAATAATTAATGTCATTGGTTTGGTACAAATATATTCATTAATCAAATAATTTATTAATAATGATGTTAATTCTTACGCACTTACAATATTCTGACAATTATTTTACCGATGAGTTAAACAAGGAGAAGGGAAAGGGGTTGACCGAATCCTAATTAGTTTTTTTTTTCTTTTCAAATGTTCTTTTAATAGGAAAAATATATGAGAAGATTCCCGTCATTGCCCTTTCCACCGAAATAGTTTTGCTTCTTTTGAATTGGCTCAAGCTCCCTATTTTGTTCACATAGGATCAAAATCCCGATTTTGGTACGATTTTACGATTTTAACGATTTTAATCCCGATTTTGAACGATTTTAAGATCCATCGATTTTATAGTAAAATCATGATCGGAATCTCTAAGTAAAATTCTAAAATCTTACAATTTTACGATCAAAATCCCGATTTTGACTGCATTGCTCTCACGCATATCAATCTCTCCCCAAGGATGTTCAGGCTTCAGTTGCCGCTTATCAAGAAATTAATCTATTAATATTTTATAAATTTTAAATAAGTTAAGACTTAAGAGATGAGTAGCAAATGTCTTTATGAGCAAAAATAACATTCTTTTTTATATATAAAGGTGAAGCTTAGTTACTGTTGTCTAAAAAATACCATTTTGATATCTCAAATTTTATTAAATTACAACTTAATCATTATAATGTAAATTTTATATTTTGATCCTCCAAATTTAATTTTAGTGTAAAATTATTGAACAATTATGGTTTGGTATCTAAATTTTATGAGACTTTCGTACCTACAGTTTAAAATTTACATATTGGTACAATGTTTAGATTTCATGAATCCATGAATCCGAATCCACCAATCCTTTTGAGCCAATCCATGAATCCAATCCACCAGAACATAAAAGTATAAATTTAGTTTCCACCATACAAGATGTTGTATCACTCAACTGTAGCAAGAAAATTCAACCATTTTATATTTGCTCATTATGTGAAATATTAAATAAATGATAAAAGAGAGACGACTCTAAAATATTGCAAGAGCAAATTTATAAACTCATTTATTACATTTACAAGTACTAAGCAAACTTCCACTAACTACATGTAACATAATATGTGACATCTACATAAGTAAGTGTCAATAAATTGCTACGGTGAAAGGGTCGACTGTTGTATTGACGGCCAACTAAAATATTCCATAACCCTAATTAGTATACTATTTTTGTGTATTCTAATCACAAGTATGAATGGGTCCATACATGACTCTCCAACAATCTAGAGAATTAATAATTGAACCACGAACCACTAACTTTTTCAGCTCAATGTACTGTCGAGTCCAATTAAAAATAAATATATATGGTTATTACTTATTTGAAAGGTGTCATTTTTCACTATGGGATTTTAAGGCGTGAAATTTCAAATGAGTTCCAGTTTGTATTCCTTTTGCTTATCTCTAGAGTTTTTCTTTGACTAGAATTTTCAACAAATATGCATGGAATGTTTAGTTAGGTATCCACATATCAAATAAATAGTTTTCTATTTTCTATAAAAAATTAAATTATTATCATCTTAAATTCATTGCCATAAAAGGAGTTAAGCCTCAACTGTGCAAATTACAGTTTGGTACCTAAACTTGATAAATTTTTAGATTTATAACCTAAATTTTTTTTGGCATATAAGTCCTCAAAATATTGATAGAACATTACATTTTAGTACCTAAATTTTTTGTGTATTATTTTGGTACCTAAAATTTTGAAGTTCTACAAATAGGTCTAATTTTGTGTTTAATTAAAATATCCTCGAATAAATGGGTATCCATACCCAACTCATACACATTTAGATTATGAAAGTAAATATTTATACCTACTCAAACTCATCTGCAAACTTCTAAACACATATATACGTCAGTCATACCCTACCTATAATCAATGGGTGTACTTGGGTTTAGGTAAATATCATTTATTAAACAATTTTTTTAAATTGGATGTTTACCGTCATATATATCTTCTCAGTTAATATCATATTGTCAAGTCAATATTACTAAAAAAACTGCTGACAAAAAATTAATTTTAGGCTAATAATACTAACAAAACACCATAACAGGCCACATAATACATGCCCATAGGCCATCTCTGCCCGTGACAAGACGCGGAATCACCACCTAGTATATATTCAAAGGGGGAAAATAAGAGAAAAAATAATGGTATTAAGTATTAACATAAATGAGGAATTTTACAATGTTATATAGTGTTGGTGCTATAGGTTTTTGCTTTTATGGTACAACTTGAAATTGTACATTTAACGTTATGGTACAACTTTAGATTATACCTATACTGTTTGTACAAATTCTTTTATGGTACAATTTGAACTTATGCCTTTATGTGATGGTATATCTTTAAGTTGTAAAATTGTACCATAACATAATGACACAAATTTTTTTATAGTACAATCTAAACTTATAGATTTCATATTATGTTATGCCAGTAGAAATGCTCTAACATAACTATGCAACAATAAATATGTCTGATTGGATATAATATATGATAGCTCAAATTATGAATAGAAAAGTTGACGAGGCAACAAAATTAATTGTGCCCTTGTTTTTTTTTTTTTCTGGGGATCTCTGTTAGATTATATATTAGCTTAATGTGGTCAAACCAGTGGAAGCCTGCTCCTTATCCGAAAAGGAATAGGATAATGTTCTTGTGGATTTTACATTAAATTTTTTGGCAAAAAGACAATATATGTCCTGCCTATGCTGAGGCTCCTGAGTTGTTTTCTGCATTACCCTTAATATCCTGCAACTATGCCTAGTAAGATACGAAATGCAGGCCAAGCAGCTTGTTGTATCACGGCACGAGAGCGGATTCCATGATCAAGAGAGTTCTTAGTCACATGACTAAACTCTTTCTAGTTTTTAGATCTGAGCACACTAATTTAACGGTTAAAAAGTGGGAAGAGATTTTTAATTAGTAACAAGAGTATTTTGGGTATTATGAAAAATTTCAAAAGAAACGAAAAACAAATATGGTGCACAAAAATAAAAAGTTCACAAACATTACAAAAGAAACGAACAAAGATTACAAAAATAACAAAATTTACATACATTAAAAAATAAACCGGCAAACATTACAAAGAATACTAACAGTACAAAATAACACGACTTACAATACAAATCGATTAAATTGTATTGCAAATTAATGAATACAAAGTATACAAATCATAACATAAAGTATACAAACTAGAATAACAAATATTATAAATAAAAATATATACAAATTAGCCATATAAACATTACAAACACAATAGAAAAAAATAACAAACTAGAATGATAAATGATAAAAACCAAATAAATATAAACATTACAAACAAGACTTATTAATATTACAAAATAGGTCGATAAACATTAAAAAATTGCAGGCCCGTTGAAAAATTCGCTCCTCTCTCTCTCTGCACGAGGAAGCTGTGGGAAAATATTCCTAGGCCACCTCTATTTTCTAGGGCAGAAGGAAGATGGGAGGTCGGCCGGAGGAATCGGTGACCGGCGGAAAGAAACGAAAGGGAGGTATAAGTGTCAATCGGGCGGGGGCGGGTCGGGTTGAATTGGGTTACGGGTTAGTCGGATTTTGCGGTCATCGGATTACGGGTCAGTTGGGTTCGGGTTAATCGGGTTGCGAGTTAGTCGGGTTGAAAATTAATTGGGTTGCGGATCGACCGGGTTGCGGGTCAGTCGGGTTACGGGTTGGGCGGGTTGCGAGCGGCTCGGGTTTGTGCATTGTGTTACTTACTTTATACTCGTTACAACTTACATTTTATTTATTGCAGTAATTTCAAACATTTTTTTCAAAATTTTAAGACAAATTTTCTCTCCTTGTATATTACTTACAAAAACTAAATAGAATTTTCAAAGTGTTGATTTAGGTTTTTATTCTTTTAGATGATTGAGTTATGACAATAATATGACTTACAAACTTGCTATATAATTAATCATAATTGATAAAGTACATTATTTACTTGTTATGGTGAGATTAACATTTTCGATTCAATAGTCATATACAACCACAAATTAAAAGGTGTACATGACACAAATTATTCAAAACTCAGATTCAGTTTAAAATGAAAACTTAGAATAACT